CAACCTCTGAGGAAAGGCTACGCTGCCAAAAACGTTAACTGATTTCTCTCGAAAAATACTGACAGACCTGCTAAGCTTGTCCTGCAATTTCTGCTTTTGTTTCCCAAACGCCTTTAGCTGCTTCAATCACAAGGTCAGCAGTGTGAATATTTCTGATGTTCAGCACCACTCATCTCCTCAAATAATGAAGCAGATTGTCTTCATAAGCAGTGAAACCTGGACAGCATCTCTGTTTGGAGTGATAAGTTGCAAGTAACTTTCAACCTCAAGTGCCAGGCAACAACCATCTCCAACAAGGGACAATCCAACTATCACCCCTTGACGTTCAATGACATTAATGTCGTTGAATCGGCCACTATCACCCTGGGATTGACCAGAAACTGAACTGGACTAGCCACACAAATACTGTGGCTACAAAAGCAGGTCAGAGGCTGGGAATCTTGCAGTGAATAACTCACCTCCTGACTTGACAATGTCTGTCCAATACCTTCAAGGCACAAGTTAGGAATGTGACAGAATACTATCCAGTTGCCTGGATGGTTATAGCTCCAACAACACTCAAGCAGCTTGGCACCATCCACAAAAAAACATCCCAATTGATTAGCACTTCATCCACTACTTTCAATATTTGTTCCTTTCATCACTAATGCACAGTCGCACCATTGTGTACACAAGACACAGTTCGGTGACTGTTTCAACAGCACCTTCCAAATCTTGAAGCTCCATCATCTAGAAGGGGAAGGGCAGCAGCTACTTGGGAACACTACCAACTGCAAGTTCCCTCTAACCTACAAACACCATCCTGACTTGGAACCATATCATTGTTCATTCACTATTGCTAGAGTCAAAATCTTGAAAATTCTTCTGTAACAGCACTTTTGGTGTACTTCACCCCAAGGACAATAGCAGTTTAAGAAAACTGCTCACAACCACTTCTTTTGGATAATTCAAGGTGGACATTAAAGGGTTAGGAAGGAGGCTTCATGTAATTAAAAAATAGGTAAAAATAGGAACAGTAGGTCATTTGGCCCTTCGAGTCTGTTCTACCATTCAATATGATCATGGCTGCTCATAGAACTCATTACCTGATCCTGCTTTCTCTCCTTGCCCTTTGATCTCTTTTGCCCTAAGAACTATATTTAGCTCCTCCTTGAAATCATTCAATCTTTTGGCTCAACTGTTTTCTGTGGCAGAGAATTTCACAGACTCGTCACTCTCTGGGTGATTGTAGCAAGACATACCAACTTCTGCATTGAATCTCCTCACAATGATGACCAACGTACCATTTGCATTCTTCACTGCCTGCTGCACTTGCATGCTTCCTTTCAGCAATTAGAATACGAAAGACACCCAGGTCTAGTTGCACCTTCCCCGTTCCTAATCTACCATCATTCAGATATTAATCTGCCTTCCTGTTTTTGCTACCAAAATGGATAACCTCACATTTCTCTAAATTATATTTCATCTACAAAACATTTGCCCATTTACTCAACTTGTCCAAATCACATTGAAGCATCTCTGCATCCTCCTCTAAGTTCACTCTCCCATCCAACTTTGTGTCAGTTGCAAACTTGGAAATATATTTAGTTCCCTCACCACAATCATTAATATATATGTTGTGAACACAGAAAAGCAGCATTGGGGTGTATTTTAAGAGGCAGCACAAAAACAAAATAGAAAATACGTCAAAAAAAAATTATTAGGAAAACAATGAGAAACTGTGCAATTGGAGGAGCAGCAAACCAAGCAAATTACAGCTACATCATTTAAAAAATGGTTTTATGAGAAAAGGACCATAAGGGACAGGTAGGATAATATAAAGACAATGGTAACAGTTGACAATAGAGAGATGGCAGAAATGTTAAATAACTATTTTGATTCGGTATTGGATCAGTCAGATGCAAACAGGTAGACAAAACACTGAATTGTGAGAAGTGTGATGAGATAAGGGCCTTTAGATTTTTAACAAACGACAAATTAACTTAATTCAAAAGGGAATAAAGTCCCTGGTGTTAATGTGTCTAGAATTACTTGTCATATATAATCATTTGTTAGGAAAAGGCACAGTGCCAGAGTACTGGCAAATAGCTCATGTGACTTCTACATTTAAAAAGAAGCCAAGACATTTTCAGGATATTACTGACCAATCAGATTAACACCAGTGGTTGGAAAATAATGTAATTCTTACTGAAGGACAGAATAGTAGGACATTTAGAAGAAATATGCCAATGAATAGTCAGCATGAATTTTAAAACAGAAAGTCTTGTTAGATCAACCTTATGAAGTCTGCGAGGCAATGGAGAGGAGGCAATAGTAATACAGATGTAATTATCTTGATTTTCAAAAGGTCTTTTACAATAGATTAATAAAGTCAGAAAACAGAATCCAGAGACAAGTGGTAGAATGAATTCTAAGCTGTCTGCAAGACATAAAAGCAAAGAATGGGAGTAAAGGAGTGGCAGAAGATGGGAAGTTGTGTTTCGCAAGGATCATTCCTGGGGTCACTACTGATCACAATGTACATTAATGACTGTGGAATCAAAGTATCAATTTCTAACTTCATATGTGATAACCCAATTCATTTGGAGGGAGGGTAGTCAATCGTGTAGAGGACTGCAACAAATTACAGAATAGACAAATATTGGCTAAATGAAGTTCAACAAATAAAAATTAGGTTGCATGTTTTGCTAGGAAGAATGGGGTGATCAATTTTTAATTAGAAGAGCTTAATCTACATGGTAAAGGAACAAAGCAATCAACACACAACTACATTAAACACTAAATATTGTGGAACAGACATAAACACATATTGCTGGAGAAACTCAGCAGGTCTGGCAGCATCTGTGGACAGAAAACAGACTTAACATCGAGTCCAGTGACCCTACTTCAGATGCTGCCATACATAACATAAGAACTAGGAGCAGGAGTAGGCCGTCCGGCCCTTCAAGCCTGCTCCGCCATTCGATAAGATCATGGCTGATCTTTTCATGGACTCAGATGCACTTACCCACGTTCTCACCATATCCCTTAATTCCGTTATTCTTCAAAAAAAATCTACCTTATCTTTAAAAATGTTTACTGAAGTAGCGTCAACTACTTCACTGGGCAAGGAATTCCATACATTAACAACCCTCTGGGTGAAGAAGTTTCTTCTCAATTCAGTCCTAAATCTGCTCCCTCTAATCTTGAGGCTATGCCCTCTTGTCCTAGCTTCACCTGCCAGTGGAAACATCCTCTCTACTTCTATCTTATCTATTCCCTTCATAATTTTATATGTTTCTATAACCCCCCTCAATCTTCTGAATTCCAATGAATATAATCCCAATCTACTCAGTCTCTCCTCATAAGCCAACCATCCCAACTCCGGAATCAACCTAGTGAAACTCCTTTGCACCCCCTCCAGTGCCAGTACATCCGTTCTCAAGTAAGGAGACCAAAACTGCACACAGTACTCCAGGTGTGGCTTCACCAGCACCTTGTACAGCTGCAACATAACCTCTCTGCTTTTAATCTCAATCCCTTTAGCAATGAAGGACAAAATTCCATTTGCCTTCCTAATTACTTGTTGTACGTGCAGACCTACCTTTTGTGATTCATGCACAAGGACACCCAGGTCCCTCTGCAAAGCAGCAAGCTGCAACTTTTTACCATTCAAGTAATAATCCTTTTTACTATTACTCCTACCAAAATGTATGACTTCACATTTATTTACATTGTATTCCATCTGCCAGACCTTTGCCCACTCACTCAATGTATCTATGTTCCTCTGCAAAGTTTCACAGTCCTCTGCACACTTTGCTCTGCCACTCATCTTGGTGTCATCTGCAAACTTTGACACCCTACACGTGGTCCCCAACTCCAAATCATCTACATAAATTGTAAATAATTGCGGTCCCAATACCGATCCCTGAGGCACACCACTAGTCACTGACTGCCAGCTAGAATAGCACTCATTTATCCCCACTCTTTGCTTCCTGTTAGTCAACCAATCCTCTATCCATGCTAATACTTTACCCTTAACGCCATGCATCCTTATCTTATGCAGTAGCCTCTTGTGCGGCACCTTGTCGAAGACCTTTTGGAAATCTAGGTACACCACATCCACTGGGTCCCCATTGTCCACCTTGCTCGTAAGGTCTTCATAGAATTCCAAAAGATTTGTCAAGCACGACCTGTCCTTCATGAACCCATGCTGTGTCTGCCCAACGGGACAATTTCTATCAAGATGCCTTGCTATTCCTTCCTTGATAATAGACTCAAGCATCTTCCCCACTACAGAGGTTAAGCTAACCGATCTATAATTCCCCATCTTTTGTCTACAAGACAGAGGCAAATGTGTAAAGAAGATTTACATAGATGCTACCATGAGCAAATATTGACAGGCTGAAACTCCTTTGTTTCCTGAAAAGACCTCATTACACACCTTTAAAATTATGAGAGCTTTTGGCAGAATAGACACAGAGAAATTGTTTCCTCTTAAGGTGATCACCAAGAATCACAAAGGGAAACTCAGAAGAAGCTTCTCAACACAGAATATAGAACACACTAACACAAGGAGTAGCTGAAGCAAATTACGCGGATTCATTTAATGCGAAGATGGACAGGTGGACGAAAGAGAAGTGTTTTAGAGAGCTCCAATGATCAGATTGAGGAGGCTGAAATGGAGCATCAGCACTGACAGTATATCCTAGGTAATCAATACTACAACTGGCAATTAATCAGTAATTTATAAACGTTTAATATGATTCACTGTTGTGCTCAATGTCTGCATTGATAAAGTCAAGGATAATGTCCAAGTTTCACGACTTTCTGGATCTGTCAAGTTGGTTATTCAGCATCCGGGATTCTTTCTTTCTCCACATACCGAGCTGAGCGCCTAGACAATCAGCTCAAACCCACGTTCTTAATATTCACAACATTCAGTAAGTGCCCGGTCCCAGTCTCCCTCACACCTGCGTACAAGTTGAATTACTCTCCAGCCCTCTATCTCCCTCTCTCACCTCGGTTCCTCTCCGCCATTTCTGCGGCCGCAGCATCCGGGATTCACTCAGAGGGCGGGACCTACTGTCCATCAATCCGGGAGAGGCGGGGCTACATACATTTCAATCCGTGAGAGGTGAGGCCTCCTTGTCCATCAACCCGGAGAGGTGGGGCCAGCTGTCCATCAACAAGAGAGAGGTGGGATTACCTACACAATGTGATGAGGAAGTGCTGGTGGGATGGGCTGAACAAAGTCAGAAGTAACAACACCAGGTTATAGTCCAACTGATTTATTTGAAATCACAAACTTTCGAAGCGTAGCTCCTTCATAAGGTGAAGTGAGAGAGAAGCACACAGAATTTATAGGCAGACAGATCAAGGGCAGAGAGATAAAAAGATCATACAAATGGTGCGAGTGGAGTTGTGGAATAATAAGTCTCTGCAGCTGATCAAAAGTGTCAGACAGTCTGAGTAAAGTGTCAACATCTGAATACTAAGCAAAGCGAATGACCTATAATCTGATTAAATGAGGCAGAGAGATAATTACAAGAAATTAAAAATAAGGTCGTACTGGAGACAAATCAAATGAATAACAAAATAAGTATGAGTCGCATGCTGAATGCGACCCTTGGGAATGGCCGGTTAAACCCTGGAGTTGGTTACATGTCAACTATCCAGGTCCTTTTATGGGGTCAATGTACTTAGTCATTGTAGATACCCACTCAAAGTGGTTGGACATGCATAGAGTTCATTTGTCAAACACAGGAACAGTGAGAGAAAAACTGTGTGCATCTTTTGCAATACATGGACTCCAGCAGTGTTGGCCACAGATAATGGGCCAATGCTTACCAGCAGGGAATTTGAATATTTCTTAAAGTTGAATGGGATTCAACATATAAGGAAAGCTCCATACCATCCATCATCCAATCGCCTGGCAGAAAGAGCAGTCCAAATTGTAAAGGCTGGCTTGAAGAAACAGTATACAGCTTCGCCAGAGACCAAACTGTCTTGGTTCCTATTTGATTAAAGCACCACTCCTCATGCATTTACAAAGATGGTTCCAACAGAGTTGCTAATGGGATGAAGACTCTGCACCAGGTTAAATCTGATCTTCCTGGACCTGGGGTGGGATGCATGTGAAACAGCAACAGAAATGCCAGTGTTGGATGCCAGGCTCCACCAAGAGAGAGAGATAGTTTACTTCAGGGGACAAATGTTGATGTAGGAAGCTTGAAATTGGCCCTGCATGGGTAAGAGGTATGGTCGATGCAAGGCCAGGAGCGGTGACGTATAAAGTTCATGTAGGAATGATGGTCCTGACAAGCACATGGACCATATGGAAGCTGCAAAGTCGCAAAACATGTGGGAGCAAAACATGCCCTACTTCTTGGAACAGTTGAAAAGGCTGTCAAAAACTGTGAGTTCTCCCTCTCCATCAAGTGTTGAAGAGACCTCTTAATCTGAGATGGACACAGCAGATCTCACTGCATTGACCACCATCTACAAGGCACAAGGCAGGGGTGTGATGGAATTCTCCCAGTTGCTTGGATGGGTGCAGCTCCAGTAACATTCAAGAAGCTTGACACCATCAAGGACAAAGCAGCCTGCTTGATTGACACCATATCCACAAGCATCCACTCCCTTCATCACTGATGCTCAGTAGTAGCAATGTGTACCATCTATAAGATGCACTGCAGACATTCATCAAAGATCAAAGTTGCTGGAAAAGCTCAGCAGGTCTGGCAGCATCTATGAAGGAAAAACAGAGTTAACGTTTCGGGTCCAGTGATCCTTCTGAGGAAGGATCCTGACTTGGAAATATGTCGTTGCTTCTTCACTGTTGCTGGATCCTGGAATTCCTTCCCTAAGAGCATTGTGGGTTGATGTACAGAATACGGGCTGCAGTTAGTTCAAGAAGACAGCTCACCACCAGGTTCCCAAGGGCAACTAGAGATGGGCAATAAATGCTGGCCAACCAGTAATGCCCATGCACCATGAATGAATTTAAAAACTGACAATATGTACACTGTTTGCATCCGCTTTGCAGTCTGCCTTCCACATTTTTGTGTAGTCTGCAAATTTGGCTATAGTACATTCGTTTCCTTCCTCTAAATTATTGACATATATTGTAAACTTACCCTTGAATAAGCTATCAGGGAAGGGAGCAAAGTTTCAGCAATTTTAATCAAACATTAAATATCTAAAAGCTGGTTAGCTACTGCATTCGCAGGTGTTAGGTGTGTGGACGTGCCCTGCCTCAGCGGGCGGGGAAGGTCTTGATGGGCGGGGCTTCACTTGTGGGCGGTGCCAGTCTCCACGTCAGGGGGCAGCCTCTATGGGCGGGGATATTAGGCTTATGGGCGGGACCTTTCTCTTCAGACGAGTCCTGTTTCTGTGGTTGGGTTTGTGTCAGACATCCTTTATGAGCGGGACCTGGCTCAATGGGCGGGGACATTGTCTATGGGCGGGGTCTGCCTCCATGTGCGCTGTCTGTCTCTGTGGATACGATTGGGGCCCGATAGGAGGATTCTACCTCTGTGGGCGGGCCTGAACCGAAGGGCGGGGCCGGTACCGTTGGGCGGTGTCATACTAAGTGGGCGGGGCCAGACTGCAAACGTGGCTGTAGTTAGGGCCCATAGGTGGACCTTCCTCTGTGGGCGGGGCCCGTGTCCATGGGAAGAAGCATTCCGCTCTGGGCGGGCTTTTGGGTCTTCGGACACCGTGGGCGGTTCTGTAGAGCTGGAGGTGGGGCCGCTCCGCTTTGATGTGCGCTGCGCCGCTCCAGACTGGTGGGGATGGAGCTGTGTCGGCTGATCGAACAGATCGAGAGCGAGGATCAAGATATAGTGCTTGCAGCGCTCCAACTTCATAACACGGAGGTAAGTGTCAACAGAACACCGGGGCCCTGGGACCCTCTGGTCGGAAATGATAATGGAGCTGGATTACATCGGGGAACTCTCTGGACCTGAGCGGCACCTGGGCCAAGGGCAAAGGCCAAACCCGCTTTACCCAGTAAACAGCAACAATTGCAGCCTGCCCAGGCCCGGGATTTACTGTTAAACCTAAACCAGCCAATACCAAAGCTGTGTTCCTGACTGTGCCCCGCCCCCAGACCAGGCCCCGCCCCTCAGCGTTCCCCCTCCCAATCGTTTCACCACCCCTTTAGCGCCTCTTCCTCCTTCGTCTTCCTAGCATAGAGTGAGCACCTTAGTACCCCTGCCATTGCTGCTGGACTCATTGGCAGGAAATCCGCACTCACCTCCTCCTGTTCTGGAATTGAGGAGCTTCAGAAGTCCCAGTGGGCCTGAAGCTATGATCCAGGGCTTTGGTTCCAGTTTGATGTGTTGGGGTGCTGTATCTGGCAATCTTTTTGAGGTTCGTGGGGGCTTGTGAATGCAAGTGTCTGTGGAAATCTGGTGAGGATGGCATGGTGGCTCAGCAGTTAGCACTGCTGCCTCATAGCACCAAGGACTGGGGTTCGATTCCACTCTCGGGTGACTGTCTGCATGGAGTTTGTACATTCTCCCTGTGTCTGTGTGGGTTTCCTCCCACAGTCCAAAGATGTGCAGGCTAGATGAGTTAGCCATGGGAAATGCAGGAGTATTGGTTGGGAGGATGAGTTTGGGTGGGATGCTCTTCAGAGGGTTGGTGTGGACTGGATTGGCTGAATGATCTGCTTCCACACTGTCAGGATTCTATGTGATTCCGGCTGTGAGTTGGTTGGGTGCCTGGGGCTCTGGAAAACCACTATCTTAGGAAGGAACAAAAACAAAGTTGCGGGAAAAGCTCAGCAGGTCTGGCAACATCTGTGAAGGAGAAAACAGAGTTAACGTTTCAGGTCCGGTGACCCTTCCTCAGTTCCGACCCGACCGCAGGACGTGCTACACCTGCCCCCATACCTCCTCCCTCACCCCCATCCCAGGCCCCAAGAAGACTTTCCACATCAAGCAGATGTTCACCTGCATATCTGCCAATGTGGTATACTGCATCCGCTGTACCCGGTGTGGCTTCCTCTACATCGGGGAAATCAAGCGGAGGCTCGGGGACCGCTTTGCAGAACACCTACGCTCGGTTCGCAATAAACAACTGCACCTCCCAGTCGCAAACCATTTCAACTCCCCCTCCCATTCCTCAGATGACATGTCCATCCTGGGCCTCCTGCAGTGCCACAACGATGCCACCCGAAGGTTGCAGGAACAGCAACTCATTCCGCTTGGGAACCCTGCAGCCCAATGGTATCAATGTGGATTTCACAAGTTTCAAAATCTCCCCTCCCCCTACCGCATCCCAAAACCAGTCCAGCTCGTCCCTGCCTCCCTAACCTGTTCTTCCTCCCACCTATCCCCTCTCCCACCTCAAGCCGCACCTCCATCTCCTACCGACCAACCTCATCCTGCCCCCTTGACCTGTCCGTCCTCCCTGGACTGACCTATCCCCTTCCTAACTCCCCACCTACACTCACCTTTACTGGCTCCATCCCTGCCTCTTCGACCTGTTTGTTTCCTCTCCACCTATCCTCTCCTCTATCCCTGTTCTATCCGCCTCCCACTCTCTCCCTATTTATTTCGGAACCCCCTTCCCCTCCCCCTTTTCTGATGAAGGGTCCAGGCCCGAAACGTCAGCCTCTCTGCCCCTATGATGCTGCTTGGCCTGCTGTGTTCATCCAGCCCTGCACCTTGTTGTCTCGTATTGCAAGTAGTTGATGCACGATTGTGGGACCTGAATTCTGTTCAGGCCCTTGGGTTTCGAATACTTTCTGGAGGTTTGAAGTTCAGAGCTGGAACCATACTTGTTCCCCAGAGACTTTGGATGTAATTCTTCCAGTGCATGAAGTGCTTCAATCTGTGCTGTTATGAAGAAATTTTCTGTCCTTCTCAGTTATGATAAGATTCAAATAAATTTACATCACACCAGTCCTGGTGAATCTAATGAAATCAGTGTTAGGTGATTGAGACCTCCTGTAAAGAGAGTCAGGACATGAATGTATTTATAATCCAAGAACTGCATCAAACCCTAGATTTACACATTCTTAAAATGGGCAAGATGGAAATAAAGGAGTAGGTATGACAACATGTTTGTTATCAATTATGCTAAGAGAATTTAGTGAACTGTGTCCAGTCCTGTGAACTGGTTCAGAATCTTTACATCCATTAAAATTTTTAAAATTTACGTTTTAGGTTGACTTATCACTTGAAACACTACATTTATCACCCAATCCTAGTCCTGATAAGTTGATGGAGAACTGATATTTTGAACTGACTTGCTAAGTCACTTCAAAGATCAGATATGAGTCACCTACCAGATATAGGTCTGAACTCTGATACAAGCCCAGACTGGGTAAGCTTGGCAGGTTTCCTTCCTTAAAGGACATGAATGAACCATATGCGTTTTTATAATAAACCAGCTTCATGGTCACCTTTATTGTGATCAGTGTGTTGTGTGATGGCGAGGGTTGTGATTGACGCAGTTTATCCTTATAGGTCCACATTATGTGTGGCCCAGTCCACATTTCACTATTGAATTATGGTGTTTAATATTATAACATGCTGACATAATATGCTGACTGAAGATGAATACGATACTTGAGAGTTTGTAAACCAGGTCAGCAGCAATCAGATAATGTAGCTAATGGAACTATAATCTTCTCACTTGTACATACAATTCTTTTTCTAACATTTATCAATAATTTTGTAGAAATAACTAAAAGGAATTGCTTCTGCTGTCTTACAATTTCTATTTCTCATCCTTCTCTTTCAGAATTCTCAACGTTTCCTGTTTGATGTGGAGGATAGAGAACTAAGACAGGTAAAGTGTAGAGAGAAGTGATAGTAGGGAGCAAAAGGGTGGAGGAGGCTGAAGCATAGGGATCCTGAGAAACTGATAAATAGGGAAGGGCAGAAGGGTAAGTGGGCACATTGGGTAAAGAGGTTTGGGCAGTAAGGTGACAGGAGTGGAGAAACAGTTTAGGAAAAAAAAACTTGAGTAATTGCAAGGTTCATGCAGAGTTGTTTAGAAAATGATGAACAGCTTTTATTGCAGTTCATAATCCACAGGATCCAAAAGCAAATTAAACATAAACACAGAGATAACAAGGTGCAGAGCTGGATGAACACAGCAGGCCAAGCAGCATCAGAGGAGCAGGAAGGCTGACGTTTCGGGCCTAGACCCTTCTTCAGAAA